TGGAACATCTGAACTGCAGCAGTTTTTGCTAGGACGATGACACCTAGTGAATCCTGCTAGTCATCTGGTGCTGGTACAGCGAACCTAGCCACCTCTTCAAGTTTGTGGCTTGAGCACGATTGCCATGTGCGAGCGGCGCAATTGAGTACAGGTCGCTGAGTAGCAATCTTCCTTTGCTTAAGCCTACCCTCTGCACGAGTGTATTTTATTCATCTGCAATGACCTTACGGAGAGGATCCTTTTTATCTGCGGAGATCTTTCACCATTGGCACCGTTTCAGGTCCCCTTGGCTTCTTACGATTTGACAGCTTCTGTGATGCATTACAGTTATTGTCCTGCATGACCTACAGGCTGTCTATCCCCACCCCCCTTGAGGGGGGTGTTGAGTCACATCACCATTGCGGCAGTATCTTACTACAGAGACTGGACTCCAACTTCACTTATCATCATAGGACAAACTTTGGCAATGAGAATGGCAACTGGTATGAGCTGTATTGTCAGCTATTCCTGCTTTGCCTACCTTTCAGAGAGCTGGAGTGACAGTCACGGTTGTATGGACGATGAGAATCTGGGTGGTCGTGTACTATCGTTTTCGCTCTGCCGCACTTAATTAGTTTGCATGTTTTTGGTGATGATACAGTGACTTAGGTCACTGTGTCCAAGGCAAATCTCAAGTTGATTTGTTGGTTTTTGTTTGGGCCCGGCCCCGTTCTTTGTTGCTTCGCTGTTTTGCTTTTTGGCGAAACGCAAATCTGGCTGGGGGATTTGCGGGTCGTTGTTGGTTGCGTTTTTTGGTTTGTTTTTTATTTGTGTTGTGATGATTTGCCCGCGGTTTTGGACCACACGAGTCCTTTTTCTAGATGCTTTTCACCGCTTACGCTATTGTAAGGACCGTGCCTAGTGCGAATCGGCCAAACCGGAGGAAAAAAAAAATCCTCTCCCTTGCTTCACAGACCTTCAGTCTCAATCTAGACTTTATCTTTTAAATTCCACCCCCTCTACCTTGCTTCGCAATCCTTCAGTCTCAGTCTTTGGTTTCCATAGTCTGGAAGTTTGCCACTCAGCGTGTTGGGTGGCTTTGTTGGGTACATGGGGGGCTTCAACGAGCTTCAAGATCAGCTTCAAGGGGGCTTCAAGGTTGGGACCGGCAAGGGAAGGATGCTTCAAGGGGGCGGCAAGCAGGCTTCAAGGTGAAGCAGGCTTCAATGGAGCTTGCTTCAAACAGTGCCGGGTGTGCGGGGTGTTCTGCGGTTGCTTAAAGATTTCTGTGAATATCATCATTGGATGATATGGAAGGGTGTTTTGTCATGCCGTGAAGGCTGCTAGTTGTGATCTCGGGGATCCTGGCTGGGGGGATCCCTGGTTTCCGCATTGAGCCTTGTTGCTTCCCGCACCCTTCAAGTGGCCCATGGTGATTTCGTCTTTGGTCTTGTTGTTGTTTAATTTTATGGGCCTGCCAACATGACACACAAGTTGTCATCTGCATGCGCCGAGATGATAACAAGCTATCACCTCTCGCCCCAACAGATCTGTTTCACCCATAAACTGGAACCTGTCACGTCACGGTTTCGTGGCCTTGTGGTTGTTTTCTTTTGTGTGGGTTGTTTTGTTGTTTGGGTTTGTTTCGGTGTTGTTTTTGCTTTTGGTTCTTTGTTTTTCGGTTTTTGTTCTCCGTTTTTGTTCTTTGGAACGTGACAAGGACTTTGGACTATGTATCGGTCCTCTTCCAGTTTACTTTTGCGGCCACTACAGCATCGGCCCCTGCGTGAATTAAATAATTAATCTCATATGCAACATGCTTGGATAGATGTTGAACGACCTGGTGGAAGCCACACGGCGTTGGACGGAAAAAAAAATCATTGGATGATATGGAAACGGCAAGTTTTGATGCAACCAATTTTGTCGATGTTGTTAGCCTGTGACGCTAAGGTGCTATGAGTGGTTGATTCTTTGTTTCGATTGGTTAAATCAACCACTTATGGTACTAACTAGCTACATGTTAGGTCGGAATCGTTGATTGTTGCGCAGGATGTTATCTGAAACAACTTTTGATCTGGAATCCGCAGTTGGAGTCTTTTGTTTTTGAGAAGTCCGTGTGACTTTGTGTTGCTCAACCAGAGAGTGGCTCGAGTAACAAGAGAATTTAAGACACTTGGTTTTGTGCCTTGTGTGACCTGTTTGTTGACGGCGCGAAAAGGATTTGGAACTCGCTGAGCTGAGTTGGGGTTCATTAAGATTTTTACATCGTAGCGGGAGCCTTCGGGTATCTCTACTAGAGATCCAGGTCTTCAATGAACAGTCCAGGTGCAGGAGGTGTTGGTCCTGAGTCGTTCTTTAGTCCAGGTCAAGCTGAACGAGGTCAAGCTGGTGCAGGTCGTGCTGCTGCGCGGGTGCTTGCCCAGGGTGTGCCGGAGGTGCTGGTAGCCAGGGTGAGGCAGGTCGTGGATCTTGTGCAGGTGGTGCGTGTCAAGGTTGTGATCCGTTGCAAGTAGAGGACCCGTGGACTAACTCGACAGGTAACAGGAACACTGTGCAACCTGATCTTGTGAACCAAGGAGCTCAGAGTTTTCAGAACCAAGGAATAGTCTTTGCTCCAGGAGCTGGAGTTCCTGTGCTGCCTTCTTCAGGTAGCCACGGAAGTGGCAGGGGGAGGTAGTGTAGGGCCTCAGCCTGGAAGAGTTGTGCCACCTATGCCTGTGTATGGATGCGGTCCACCAGTAAATGGGTTCGATGTTGTGAATCCGACATTGCAGGGCATGAATCAAAGGCCAGGAAATGTGAGAAATCCGATGGCCGGAAATGGTTTGCAGAATGTTCCGATGCAGTGTGGTAGTAACTTCGACCGAGTAATCCAGATTCAACAGCTGTTGCAGGGATTGAATGCCAGAGAGCTTCAACAGGTTTTTCAGAATACAATGACAGAACATTGCGGAGGTCTGAAAAAAGGACCGTCAGACAGTTCAAAACATGGAGCCGTTTTGCTGGTGCCTGACCAGCATTTGTTCAGTGTGGAAACAGCTGCCCTGGCTAACTGTGCATGCCTGTTCAACGGCTCTGATTGAATTTGTAGAGACGAAAAACCCTGCTGTTGCGCCAGTAGTGACCCCACTGTGACCTCCATAGGCTCCATGGCTGACGGCGCGCATGATTTGGCAGCTGCGACCTCTATGGGCTCTATGGCTGACGGTGCAGCTGTGACCTCCTCCGTGGCTGCGCCTGTGATCTCTACTACTATGACTGACGTGCTGGGCGACCTTAAGCGGAGAAGGCAGGAGTTGAAAGCTTCGCTGAAAGACGTCAGCAAAACGCTGAAAAGCGAAAGCAAAAAGCAGAAGAGACTCATCGCCAAAGCTGGACGATTGAGCAAAGAGGACTTGTTTTTTTTGATGGCACGCCAAACTCAGGCGAGTGTGTAGTCTTTTCAACCTTGGCTACATTGTAGTTTCTTCACTGGGGCGCCAGTTAGTGCGCACCGCTGGGGAACAGCAAAGCTTTGGTTTTCTTCACCTTAGCGCCGGTTAGTGCGCATGACAAAAGGTGTTAATGACTTTCAAGGTTGCATCAATGAACGGCAGCATCTGTGTTTGAAGGCTCGATGTTCAACCTGTTGTATGACATAGTGTTTAGATGAGTAACTGACGTTCTGCAATGCGACGATGTTTAAGCTGCTTTTTTGCGAGGAACATCCCGCCCCATGAAGCGACCAGGATTCACTATCACAACGGAGGCCTGGCTTACTTCCTCCAGAAGCATTTCTAGTTTTGAGTGTTGTAAAGTTTTAGCGGGTCGGTAACGCTTGTCTGCTGTGCACGGACTCATTACTCTGATGTGGTCATTTGCTTGTCCTCGTTTCCCTTTATTTACTTATTTCCTCCTCTTCTCACGTGGAACAAAACAAAACATCATTGGAGATTGTGCAAATGATGATTTTTATTTCGGGCAGTTTCGACCTTCATCTTTTGAGGGCTGAAGATGCCCTTGTGTGCCGGTGTCAATCAGATGCGCGGGCCAGCAGTGCAACTACTTTTGCAGCCACTTGGCAGGGAGATACCATTGAAGAGTGGCCCATTTTCACCGAAATGTTGTCTTATTTGCCCGACGTTTGCATCAACGCTGAAATTGTGGTAGTAATGTGTGGGTGACATAACACAAAATGCTTCTTGTGACATGTCCATGTGCATTTTGACTGCGCAGGCTCGCACAAAATGCTCGGCATTTTCCCTGCAAATTTCCACACGAAATGCCTCTTATCACATGTCCATGTGCATTTCGCCTGCGCGGGCTCGCGCAAAACGCTGGGGGACGTTTGCAGTTGACTTGTCAATAGCGGTTTATAGATAGGTTAAGCGTTGCGCTTGACCATTTGGACTTTGGTTTGGAGACCCTGCAGGCTTTCTGAAACAGAGTGTGCCACCCTGTCTGATTTCCCGCTCTTTGTTGGGACCTAGCACGTGACGCTTAGATCGGCTTGAACACAGCGATCATCCATGAAGCTGGCGTGAAACTATCGCGTTTCCGTCTTGTATTTTAAATGTCAGATGTTCAGTTGGAGATGTTCCAACCTTGTGAGCTGATTCACAAACATGAATGCACCAACTGTCAGTTAAAACAAACGTGC